ATTCTCGTGAAAAAGTTACAAAGAGCTGATTCATTATCCAAGAAACTGCATCCTCTTCGTTTTCCTTTTCTAACTCAGCTTCTTAGAGACAAAGAGTTTGGAGCAGTTATCTTAGAGTCTGCTAAATTACCTGCAGCAGGTATTCACCTCTCCCACCCATATCCATGTAAAATACTGATTTGGGGCTGCAGGTGTAGCTCAGGGGTAGAGCTTGGGCTTCGTGTGCATGCGCTCTAGCACCAAAAAAATGAAATCTAACATATAAACAGAAAAACTCTGAAGACACAGAGATGTGACTTAGTTATCATATGCTAAATAAAGTGCTGAACTTTGTTTTCTCCACTTAGATTCTCTTATCCCTGGGGAGCCCTCCTCCAAGCTAATCAGAGATGAGCTCTTAAATAGAGGAACTAACCATGATTCAGCACATTTAAAAAAGGACTTGTACCCATTCTTAGAAGGACAACCAAAGGAAACACCATCTAAGGTCTAAACAATGGTATCTACTTGCCCTTTCATCTTAGTTTAAGAACACATTGTACGACTTTTTTTGTTGGAATAAAACTGAATTTCACATTTAAATTTCTTCAGCAGGATTTCTACTGCTTCTTTGAGCCGGGCTCTTGCAAATTCTCCAAACTCTTTTTTTGCTGTGAGTAGCTTGCAGGCATGGATTTATTTTCTGCTAATAAAAATCTTCATTTGAGGACAGGCAGCTCAAATGAAAAATAGTACCTACTGATCCTATGTTGATGAGGGAAAGACAGTACTGTGGATCTGGCTAGAAATATGAGTAGGGAGTATTCAATTTTTCTTCTAATTTATGTTTCCCAGGAGTAATTTTGTCAAGAAGATTGCCAGTATTTTTAGTACAATAAGTCTCTTGTTACTTGTACTAACACATACTGATTCCCTTTTCTGAGTATGATTGGAGGTTTTATTATTATTATTATTATTATTATTATCATTTCATTTAATCCTAGCATCTGGAGATCAACACCTCATTAATTCAAAGTAAGTAAGTGAAGTCTAAAATACAGAGGTTTAAAGAAGCACTATTACATCTCTCTCATGTAATGCATAAAACAAATTAATACACACTTGGATATCTAATGAAAAAAGAGGCAAGTTAATAGAACATTATGATATTCATCAAATGCCATGAACCTCAATGTTCTAAATGTCTGAACTTCAGACTTTTTACTCAATAAAAATCAGACATGGCATTTCTAAAGAATCAGATCTTCTGTATTAAAAATATGGGGTATTGCCTACATTTTCATTAATTCAATCTTTTTAAGCACCTGCCACGTGGTCCGCATTATATTATGTGCGCAGGCTATAGTGGTGGATTGGTGAGACTTCAGCCTTTGAAGGATGACAACCTAGAGGTGACACAAACAAATGAGTAAGCAAATTCCAAAAGAAAAAAGAAAAACTCCTTGTGATCAGCAAAAGGAAGGAAATAAACAGGGTGCTGGGGTGGTAAAGTCCAGGATGGAGCAACCCTAGTTTATGTAGAGGGGCAGAAAAAGGTCTCTCTAAGAAGGTGAATTTTAAGCTAGGACCTCAAGGATATTTCAGGACACCTCTCCAAGGTCACCACATTGGCAGGCTTGCTTATTAGACTGCCAAGACATTTTTAGCAGAAAACAAACAGAAATGGCATCTGTGGCCCTGATTACATGCAAGTTCACGAGCTCACCCGGGCACTCTGTAGACCAGTCTCAGTGGCAGACGGACTGTACCTCACATCCCAGGCTATTCTCCCAGATGGAGTTTTAAGCAGGCAATATAAACAACAATGAACTGGTCAAATGACCAGCATTTGGACTAGGAGAGATTCATCCTGTTGATTCATACTTCCTGATAGTTCTGCTGATGACAAAGCTCAGGGTGTTTTAAACGTATTTCATGAGTAAATTATTCCTCCAGTCTCAGAGAAGAGGAATGTTTACAACTATGTAACACTTTCCCTTATACCTCCAGGGTTCAACTTTCTCAGCCCAGCAGATAAGAGTATTTCCAAATACAGTACTGTAGCGTTTGTCTTTCTGCAGGTTCTTTAATAGATGAGCCCTGTAATATAACAGTTAACATGACATTGACACCAATCAGGAAATCTGTGGAATTCTCCCCACATCCTTATTCAGAGAATCCAGGCTACTAAGCAATTACTTTCTTCAAGTGAACTGTCCTTCTTTTGCTCAGAGTCATGGTATCAGATATTTTCACATTTTGTGAAATGTGATAATCTCCCCTTCTCACTACTAAATGGATTAAGATGAAATAGAACTGTTTGATTGGCAGGTGGCATGGCTTTTAGCTTGGATTCTACTTACTTAAAACAGGGTTTCTTCTTTAATTACCCACATGGGAGTCCAGGACTAGACCTATATTAGGTATTACTTATAGTCACACAGCCCAATGATGGGATATAAGGGACTCAGGTCAGAGTTCCATGACAGCCTGTCCCCTGGATCTGAAATTGCACTATTGGTGAGTTCTCCTGGAACTTACATATCTTTAAAAATCTTTTATGAAAAATGGAACTATCCTTAAGGAGATACTACGTTAAACCACCCCATTGGCAAGACTAGTTGTCAACCAGCTTCAAACAGTGTGACTCAGAAGGAGTGTGTACCCATAGACCACAAAAGGTCAGAAAAGCAAGGAACCAGAGGAATTTGGAAGTCACTAAGCACAATAAACATGACTGTACTTTACAAACTTGCCTCAAGTCCATTCTTGAAATTTCAAATACCACCCAAGGCAATGGTTCCTGAATCCTGGAAAGATTCGGGCTTTTACCCTCACACATTCTGAGTGAATTGAGATGGAATAAAACCTGGGCATTAGGATTTTTTAAAGCTCTCAGGTAAGTCTACAGTAGAGGTTTGGAAGTTTTGCTCTTCATCTCTGGGAATGATACATAGATTTTCCTCAGACATCAAGATCTTCTGTGCCAGAGATTCTTGATCCTGGTAGCACATTAGAAAAATCTATGGCACTTAGGGGAGAAAAAAGAAGGAGGAGGAGTAGGAAGAGGAGGAGGATGCCTGAACCCCACCCTCAAAGATTCTGAAGTAATCTAGGAAGCAGCCCCAGAACCCCAGAGTTCCTCAAGTGCCCTGGGGCAATGCTAATGGGTACACAAGGCTGAAAACCAGGGTCCCAGGTCAGGAACTGTTTTCTCGGAGACTGTAACATGATTCTCCGTGAAGGAACCAGTCTTCCTCCACTTTTATCCAGGTTAGGACTCCCGCAAAAGGCAATAAAACATTTCCCCCAAAGTTGTCAGGAAACATGGGGGCGTGGGTGGGTGGGAGGGTGAGAGAATAGGGGGTGGAATTTATTAGGTAAGAAGAAGCAGAAAAGTTAGAATAAGGAACAGCCCTAATCCTCAGCGGTCCCTCCCCATTCCATCCCAACCCCCATCACCACATTTTATTGACTGGCATGAGAGAGAGTTTCCTTAGACTGCTTCCCGGAGGTGGCTCAACCTTGGATTTGCTTCCAATAAATTGTGAAAATTTTTGTCCAATCAGATCTCCTGGCAGTGCAAGTAGCCAGATTGGCAGGCCCTGCGCTTCCACTCCCTGTGAGATTCTGTTTCATGAATTTCCCAGGAGGATTTTTGCACCACTTGGATGCCAATCTTCCAGCCTCTTCACCCTCCCCCTCCTCCTTCGCTCCCACCCCTCACTTTTTATCGCTCCACCCCCACCCACCAAAGCTCAGCGGAATTGAGAATCATAGATATGCTTGCAAAGAAATCGCCCAGATATTTTACACAGGAATCATTCAAGTAAATAAATGCAGTTAAACAGCGGACGTCTCAGACAGGGCTTGGAAACCTGTGTGCCACTTTACCAAGTGTCTGCTAACCCACTGTGGGGCCTTGGGCATCGCCACGCATCTCATGCGGGACAGGATGCTCATGCAGAACAGGATGCTCGTGGAGACTCACCCCACAAAGCTACTGCACCCACTTGGGGTGTGGTTGCTGCCTCCTCAGTTCTCCCTGAGAAGGATGCATCCCCTATGTCCCTCTGCCCACACTAAACTCAGTTTTTGAATGAATAGCAAAAATTAGAAGCATTGATTGCAAAAGCGTCTTCCTCACAACCTTCACATTTACAGATGAGAAAACTTAAGGGGGAAACAAGGCGATATGACTCTGTCCGGGTTGCCACAGAACATTTGTGGCACAGCCCGATTTAGCCGCCCTTGAATTTCCATTCCGTTGCCTGGCAACGGGCTCAGACCAGCTAAGCGCCCAACCCCGACCCTACCCCCGCACCCTTTCTCGCCCGTGTAGATTTGGCAGCCTTGATTAAAGCTTTAGCCTTTGGGGGCAGGTGAGCAAGGGTACCAACTGGATGACCCCAGTTGGACTGGGATTCCGGATCGCCCTCCGCGGTCTTGCAGAACCTTCCTCTGGAACCAAAGCGCTACCTTCCCAAGTCTGTGGATTCCTCTTAAAACACTCATGTCAAGTTTTCAAAGTTCTCAACTCCTCTCGGATTCCCTAAAAGTCGCGGTGGGAAAACTGACACTCCAAGAGTCAAGGGGCCTAAGGCAGACAGTTCGCAGGGGAAAGTGCGCTAAACAAGAGCCTTCAGCTTCCCACGGAGGCCAGAGTCGGGTTAAAGTGGTCCCAGCCAGGCAGCAGTGAGAAAAGCGCAGAAGGTGCCCGGGCCCTGGTGAAGACGAGCTATCCAGGGGTAACACTCCCGGAGCCCGGCACCGTGCGAGCCTAGTCCCGCCCCCAGTCTCCCACGGCTGCAGATCGCAGCCTGACCCAGGACCAGCGCGGAGCGCACGTGCCTCCTACCGCCGCGCAGGTGGCAGGAGCGCAGCCCTCTTGTCCCCGCATCCCCTCAGTGCCAGGCGGGATCTGCATGCTCCTCCACCCCTTCGCACCCACCACCACCCTGGGCCTGGGAAACTGGAAAGGAGGGAGATGTTCTCGTCGTTACGTTACCCCAAATTCTTACCCAGGTTCACAAAGCTCATGACCATGTCCGCGTCGTTGAGGAAGGCGCTGTCCTGCGGGCTTGTCAGTGGGGACGCGCCGCCGCCTCCAGGTCCAGGGGCCAAGAGGCTCTTGTGGTTGAGAGTGTGTGCGGCGCTGGCAGATGGCTGCTGGAGCTCGGACAAGCTGGCCCCTCCGTGGGGCCCAGGGTGCCGCCTGTGCCCCTCAGACGCCCCGTCCTCATCGTCGTCTGCAGAAAGGGCGTTGTACAGATCCAGCATGAAGAGGGGCGCGGACTTTAGCCGTCCTGGAGGTGGCTCCCCGCGAGGCGTCTGCTGCTGTGGGAACGCTGGGGGCTGTGGCTGCTGAAGGCCATGCAGCGGCCTGGGGCGGTGTGGGAGCCCCAGCACCGACAGGATCTCCTTCTGCATCTCACGTTTCTCGTGCGTCTTGAGCCGCCGGTAGAGGAAGCCGGAGGAGGAGGACTGCGGTGGTGGCGGCTGCTGCTCTGCACGGATAGGGCTCCCGCTGTCCCCGGGCAGTTGACCCCCAGCAGCGGCCGCCGCGGCTGCGGACAAGGGCGACCGCAGTGGCGGGGGCCCGCAGCAGCTGCACAGCAGCCCCCACCACCAGCACAGCCACTGCGCCCTCCGTCCCAGCCCCGGCATCCCCGCCCGGCCGGGCTGCCTCCGCGGGCCCCGCGAGGCGTCGAGCGGCTGTGCGAGGCTGGAGAGCGGCCGCTGTGGCCCTTGGCGAGAACAGCCCCCGCCACCTCTCAGCGGACTCGCTTCCCCTTCCTGGCCTTCAGTCCTTATCTCTCATGGTCGTCCGGGGAGCCCCCTGTAACCCAGGCTGGAGGGAAGGCGAAGGGGCGATCACTAGAGCCCCGCACTCAGCGCGGGTCTCTGGAGACGCAAGTCTAAGCCAGGTGTGCCCAAGTCAGTATTGCACTGCAACCGGCGCCCCAGCCCCTGGGCGGGTCACGGCGCGGTCACTCCAGGGCCTCGCTGCCCGCACACGTGCGCTGCCCCGCGCCCTCCGGAGCTGCTGGCTGAATAGGACCCCGGGCGGCGGGGAAGCGGGGCCTCTCACGAGCTGCAGGCGACGTCCCGCATCATCCCCCGCGCACGCCCCTCTCCTGTTCGCAGGGCCACGATGAAGTTTCCCCCGTCGCAGGGCCCAGGCTGTGACGACAAGGCGTCCCGAAACGCCAGTCTTCTCCGCGAGGCTTAACTTCCTTCTTGTTCACAAACTCCGCGCCCCTCCGCCTGGGCACTGTCTCTCCCCCTCAAAATCGCGCCCCTCTCGCCTCCCCAAGCGGAGGCGGCGAGGATCTTGCTTTCCGTTCCGTGCTCTCCCAGCTGCCCAGAAAACCCCGCTGGCCGAGGGGACGGGAGGGAAGGGGACCCGTGCTGGGAGCGGCTGCTGCGACGTCGGCGCCCGAGATTCGCAGTCTCCCGCCTCTCGGAGCTGCGCTCCCCGCAGCGGCCAACGTGGGCTTTCTGCTGCGCGTCTAGCTCAGGTACCGCACTCCAGCCCCCGGGACTCCCCGCCCTCCTGGGTAACCGACAAGCTGGCAGCCAATGAAGAGACAAGTCTCTCGGGCTATTTAAATAGGCCCGCCCCTTCTTTCACCCTCCCCTCCCGAGAGGCGTCGCCTCCGCGGCGGGTAGGTTTCAAGTACAGAGAATTCTTGGAGGCGCCCGAGGAGCTGCGAGGTACCAAAGGCAAAGAGGTCATCGTTAGTAAGAGTGCTTTAACGAGCTCCCCAATCCGAACCTGTCTCTTTTACTGTCATGTCAAAGACCTAAGTTGTATTAAATACAAGTAAACACAGCTATTAAATCAATTATTCCTGAAATAATTGAGGAAGAAAAGAAAAATGATCGTTTTCTCATTCCCTCCTTAGTTTCTCTTATTATTGATGTAATGTAGGCGTTTAGCGGACACGTGGCTTTCAAAGGCAGCTGCTGCAAGTTGGGACACACCCTCCAACGGAGCTGCTCACAGACTGGCCGCAGAGAGGGCCAAATATAAGCCAGACCAGTGTCCTGAGGGTTTGGGGTCGAATATTTTGACTTATCTCTTCATTTGGGCTTTGGAAGAGGGTGTGATCTGCTAATACAATGGAAAAGCCACCCCTAACTTCTTGGAAATGTCTCTGTGCTTCTTCAGTTTGTCTGCTAATGTTGCATTTTAATTTATTGAAATACAACACAGTTTACATAGTGCAAAATAAAACTTGAGGAGTGGTGAATGAAGAGGAGCCCAGTAAAGAAAAGGGCTTGGCATGCATCCTGTAGGGGGGAGTGGTAGAAGGTCCTGAAGCACAGGGTGCTATGAACTTGACAAGACAACATCAACACTTACCAAAAAGTCTGCAAATTCACTTGCCTGCCCACTGTCCAAGAATACCCAGTCATCTGTGGATGCTAGAGGTAAATTCCCTTTAAATGATGTTCTTTTACCTGGTAAAAAGTGTGTGGATTAGAAACAAAAACTGCAATTTGCTGATTTGGCAGCCTCGCTCACATGATCCAAGGTATTTGGGAGTGAGACCAAATATAGACTATGAGATTCATGGACTTATGAGGTCATGGGGTTTCTGCTGGTCCAAATCTTACAAACATTCCTATCTTATTTCAAAGAATCTGTTTTGAGTGAGCAAGGGTCTTAACCTCTAACAATCCACTGGATTCGTCTTTCTAGTTTTATGTTGGCACAGGCATAGTGGTCATTTAGGACAGTCTATAATTTTACAAATGTCCAACAGTTGTTGATATGAGGCCACACAACTTCAGCAATGCTGAAAGTCAGTCTTTAAACATCTACAAGAATTCTTTTCATCCTGAAAGAGAAAACATCACTGCCTGGTCTGGATGCCAGGACTCTTAGAATTCAAGAGACTGCATCATTGCTTTCTTCTATCCAGGACATATTACAAACATAAAATCATAGCCATGCTAGCCACAGCAGACACAAACTCCATCCAAAAGATCTGAGATCCCAACAGGTATATATAGGAAGAGGAATCCCCTCTAGGGCAGCCTCCTTTTACAAAACTTAGTTGCACTCTTTTCATAAGACTTCTGGTGATTTCCAAGCAAGTAAAAAAAGCTCCAAGCTATAAATGCAGTGAGGGAAGCTATGAAAAATTTAAAAATTCTTGAGCATAAATGGGGACACTTTAGTAGGGCTATGCCATTAGAAACACAAAATCAAGTTGTGACCCTCCTGTTACATATGCATCTATGGAGATAAATCTAGTGCAGAATACATACAGATACACACCCCTTTATTTAGACACTTAATTATAAGGAGATGGACCAAGGTGACATGTACCTATGATGCCATTTAGTGATACATTATCAATTAAGCTCTGATGAGAAGCTCTGATTCAGGTCTGGTATGGGCTGCCACCCTCACCAAGGTGGACTTTCAGTTCTTGTTGAACAGAGCTAGAGTAAAGAGGAGTGTTACAATAAGGCGGGGGGGGGGGTGGCTTTAAATGATGAACACAAGAGCCCACATCCCCCTTAAGAACCCTAAAGACTGAAAAGTAGGTTAATTGGGACAGGACAATGATCATGAGGACAGTGACATGCAACTAAGAGATGTCTTCTGATATCCTCACTATGTGCTCCAAACCTGTACACATCACGTTTGTCAGCAAACATCCAGGCAAACCTTTGTAGGCATCGGGGACCAAGGGGATGAGTAAAGAGGTACAGTTCTAAGATTATAATAAGTTCAAAATTGGACCACTGCTTCTCCAAATCAACTGGAACATGGGGTGGGAAAGGAACCCCTAATCCCCCTTCTCACTCACTCCCTATTGACATCCCAGTGCTCCCCAGAGTTTTTAGAAGAGGGAACTAGAGAAAAGATACATATGATTGGGCAGGATGGGATGTGACAGATTTGAAGGGAGAGGAGAGATCTGGCTTTGGAGTTAGCTAGAATGTGTGAACCACCTTAAGAAAATCAGAGGTAACTTCGCCCCCTGCAGGACACCAAAATATTACCGCCCCTTCCTCTGTGAGCTCTGGACAAGCTTCATTAAGTTCTCTGTATGTGTCTCTAAAACATCTGGGGGGGAAAAGAAGAGGAATTTGTTCAAGGAGCCAGATGTGGGAGCCAACCCATAGCAAACATCTGGTTGCTTGGCTGACATTTCATGCAGATGGCCTCCAGTTTCTGGAAATAGGTCGTCTGTCCCACCCCTGCCCTACCTCTTGAAGAAGTAAGGAATCCTCATGTAGAGGCACAGGCCACCCCAGGCCTACAGTGGTGCTGGGATCAGGGTGGGAATCCTGTACCCATATGTTATTAAGGCCCAGTAGAATTCACATATCAAATTCTTTAGAATACAGTTGTCCTTGCTCCTTATATCTTATGGAGGTTTACGTTATACATTTATAGCACACTTGACCAAATAATTTCTATTTTGAAAAGATAACTACTTATTAGCTTGATATGATAAATACGCTATACCCTATACTTTCCTGTGAATTATATCATTAGCAGTAAGCTACAACTGCAGTTTGACTTGATATTAAGTTACACATTGGTCTCATTCAACTGACTTTCCTAAAGCTATTAAGTTGCTGCTTTTAGAATTAATTTAACATTAAAATGTATGAACTATGTGGCCATAAAAAGTCTGGGGTTGGGGCAGGGGACGGTCTGGCCTCCTTGAATCCTCAGGAAGCTCCATTCGAAAATGAAATTTTCAGTATCACAATTAGCATAAGGAGTGGAATATATTGAACATTAATTTCAAAATATAAAAATTGGCTCAACTTTGAAAAATATCAGTTCAGAGTTAAGTGAAAAGGAAATATGTTAAGTAAATGTTTGCAGAGTTTGAGAAATAAAAATTTGGAAGTTAAATAAATAGTGCTTCTGAAAGCTACACCTATAAGGCAGTCTCCAAAATATGTGTCTTATTCAAAAGTCTGAGGTACATTTACATTCACTACCACTCTCCCTTCACTCTCTATTCAAAAATGCTGGGCATTCACACTTCAAAATAGCCAAGCCATCATATTTTCCTACTCATGAAGGACATCTGGTGGCAGAGTGAAAAAGTAATACATAAATCTGTTTCCAGAGATTTTTTTTTTTCCACACTGTAACCCAAATAGCAAATCTGTTACTTGTATAGGTTTCAAACTCTTCACACAAGCTCAGATCTCATGGATTTAGGCTGTCTACATAATATTAAGCAGTAAAGTATTTCAAGATCCAAATGACTAGATCATTTTTGAAACTTTCATTGGATAATTAACATATGCAATCTGTCTTCAATCTTTTTTTCCTTTTCTTTTTCTTTCTTCCTTACTTTTTTAACTGAGCAAAACAATACTTAACACATTCCCATGTCTAGTTTTACTATCCCTAAAGACCTTTGTTCCAAGAAAGCATTGGACACTTGGTTGGGCTGGGTAAGACATGAGGCTGCCTGGGCTTTGCTGGCCTCTGAGTTTTACTCCATTCTGTGACCAGCCCTGCACCCATGTCCCAGATATGTCTTTATGTCAACCAGGAGGTCACATAAAAATATGACATATTGTGCTACCAATCCCTTTAACTAGCAGATCCATAAACAGTGGCACGTGGGGCCAGGGAAACCCACACTGAATAAGAGCCAGTTAGGATGAAAGTCATGGGCTTTCAACTTCCAAAGAAGAAAAAGACTAATTGCTCAGTCTGTGTGCATGCATGCATCCATCCATCCATCCAACAAGGAATCTGAATGCCTACCATGTAGTGTTCTGAGTTCTGGAGACTTGAACAGTCAGAGACCTTGCCCTCCTAGATTCTAGACAGGGTAATGGACAACACGCAAAATAAGCAAATACATTGTGGTGTTAGAGTCTGTAAACAAGTCTGGATGGCGCCTGGCATTTTGCCAGAGGGAGTGGTTTGTGAAGTAAGGCCAGCGAGCCATTAAGTGTGGAGGTTCCTTATTGGTTGACTGCTGTATGGAGTTTATGTTAATTAAGATAAGCTGTGTGGAATGTATAAATACTGCTCCTGTCCTACAATAAACGGCTCCTACTCCTGCTGTATCAATGTACACAAGTTGCTCATCACTCCCCGGTTATTTTGCTGCAGCCGGACTGCGGCATTGTGGTAGGCAGGATATTGGCCCCCATGATTTTTGCCCCAGGGGGTTTCACCTATGAAACTGGGATCTTGTGTTACAAAGGGGACTTTACAAATGGAATTAAAATCGCTTAACAGGTGATCTCAAAATAGGAAGATTATCCCAATTATCCAAGAGAACCCAACATAACCACAAGTAAAGTAAAGAGGAAGTCAGGAGAAATGCTTAGCCCAAGAGAGACTTGATTCAACTTGCTGGCTTTGAAGATGAAGAGGCCACAAGCCAGGGAATGCAGGTGGCCCTAAAAGCTGAGAACAAACCCCCAATGACAACATCAAAAGAACACCAATCTTGGTCATCCTTGCAAATTCTGGCAACAACCAGAATGAGTCTGGAAGGGGATTCTTACCC